AGGTTCAGAGCTATTCAATGAACATGTAAAATTTAGAAAGGTTCCAAAGTGAGGACGCTCAGTGTGACTGCTACAGTGGTTACATTTCCTGAAAGGACCAATATAGAAGAGACAAATTACATACAGTGTATGTCTACATGAGGCCTAAAATGATTTTGGTTTATGAGCACGGAAGCAATACTCACATTCTTGTTCCATTGGTGTGGCCACACAGGTGATACGAGAGTAACTCGGCCTGCCTTTTCTTCACCTGCCAACTACACATCACCCCTCCTTCCTTAATTACACACTGCAGGTTAATGACACCTTCTATTAGACGGGTTGAATAAAGAGTGGAGTGGGAATGGGCAAAGTGATGGAGGAAAGAATAAGGGAGATTAAGAGTGAATGAATTAGTACAATATATAGTCTCTTAAGAAGAAGCCATTATTTGTCACATATACATTACAGCCCAGTGAAATTCTTTTCTTTGCATATCCCAGCTTGGGGCCAGGAAGTTGGGGTCAGAGTACATGGTCAGCTATGATACAGCACCCCTGGAGTAACCATTGAGCCACCACTGCCTCAATATAGTGGTTTCATAAACTGAAACTTTCCGATTAGTTTACAATGTGAGTAATGGTGTAAAGTGGTGGTTTCGCATTTCTAGTCAGACCCTGAACCTTAAAGAACTCCTGAACTCAAAAAGTGTGATTTTCTTAATAGTTAACTGTTCTTGGATGTCTGATACTGAATATATTGACTGAGATTTGGGTCAGTTTTGTAAACACAATGTAAAGATTGTCAGTTAATGATCTCCCAGAATAAGCTTCTTGACTTTAACCCAAGCACATCGATATGCAATATTTTTATTTTCACACTTTTCACATAGCTTGTGTGCTAAGCCAGATAACTTATACAGATAACTGTTACTGATTAACACAATCTTGGGTTTGTTCATATATTTTGATGTGTGACCAAAATGGAAACCAAAATAAAACCCAGAAAAAAAAAATGTATATTGTCTATGAGGAAACATAGACTTTGCCACCATAATGGACAATAAAATGTATTAATAGTTTACAGTTTGTTGTTCAAGTGTGCCTTAAAGCTGTTCATTGTATGGTTATATTTTTTAGTGAATTTGTTAAATCTTGTAGTTAATGCCAGTCGTACCTTCTTCAGTCATCCAGACCACTTTGGGGCTCCAGCTGCTCCACAGGCCTACAGGACCCCGGGCTCGCACCCTGGCCTCATATGAGTAGCCTGGCAAGAGCCTCTGACTCTCGATCTCAAACTCTGTGACAGTGATATCATCTATCACCTAGCATGCAGAGAAGAGAGAGAAAGATTAGATCTGCAACACGAACAGTCACACCTTCACATCTCTACCACAGATCTCTATCTGGTTTCACGTAATTTAGTTGTGTTGCATTATCTTGCATGAGAATCTTGATGGGTTTTGAGGTTTCTATGCTCTTCAGAACAGTAGAATAATATGCTATATCTCTGTGCGTGTATTCTCTAGTGATGTTGCAGAAGGAGGTTATAGTGTAATACATGCAAGATGAGAGAGAGAGCTACCAAAAACTAGAGGTTCATTCTTTCTGATTTCTATGTGTGTGATAGAGTGTGAAAAGAGAACTGGACTATTATCTGTGCATATATGACAGTGTGTGTCACTATAACACTGATTTTCTCTCAGGTTTTAGTTAAGTTCATACTGTATCTTACTCTACCCTAATTGACCATCAAACATTCTTTGTGAAGCTACTTCACACTGCATTAGATCAGGGCTCAGGCTACTTAGTAACGTGACGAGTGTGTGTCTTTGTGTACTCACAATCCACTCATGCTCATGTCTTCTGTACTTGAGCTGGTAGGTAAGGTTTAGTGTGAGAGGGGATGAGGGAGGATACGGGCTGCTCCAGCTCAGTAGTCGGTTGCTCCCATTCACTTTTTTCTCGGAAAATTTAGTTGGGGGCAGGACCTTGCCTTTAGAGTATGCGCACACACACACACACACACAATCACACACAAACACACACACACACACACACACACATACATACATAAAATCCTCTTTTTTATTTTTATTAAAAAACAATTTCAGTATGTATGAGCATGCACGTACACTCTTATTTATATTTTCTTTGGGTTAACAGGTAGTGTTCAGCTGACAGTTACAGGTTACACATTTAAACCAAATTGCTTGAATAAACACATAAGGACACACATGTCATTTTCTCACCTTGTGTAGCTATATTAAAAGTTGTCACTTTAGAAGGACAGGATGTGTTGAAGAAGAAGACATGACTGCCCATGCTAAACACTTCGGTTTTATAGACACAACTCCGGGTGCGATTTCCACTAAACTGCATCTTACTGTGATCATCAGGGACACACAGTTCTCCACTACAGTTGGACACACACACGCACACACACACACACACACACACAAAAAGGAAAGGATTGGGTTTAAATGTGTAGATTTGCTTTATGTTTGCTTCTGTCTTTTTATTGTAATCATTTTAATGGACATATTTTTGTTCCTTACTTGCTGATTGGCACGAGGAAGTCTGTGTGTGACTCTACCTCCCAGGTGCAGCGGATCTGAGTGGTGAAGTCATTATAGCACTGCAGCGATGCCAGCATTGGAGAATCTAAAGAGGGTCAGAAGTCATATATCATAAGGTCATCTAAAAGAAAGGGCTTGGAGCCATGAGCATGTGTGAACTTTTTGGATGAAAAGCAGTTATACTCTATATAGTGTATCAGTTAAGAAATATTATACCACAGCTCTGATGAATTCTTGATTCTAATTATTCAGACGGTGTTTATTAATTTTCTATATCAGCAGATCAGACAATAGTTCCAGCTGTATTGGAAATCACAGGTTTCATTAATGAGCCCATTCTAATATATTATTTCCACAGTAACTAACACAGAGACGTGTATGGCAGACACGCCACAAAAACAGATTAATAACATGTGTGTAACTGTTGATATGGTGAGGAGACATTTATTTAAGTATTTTTGTAAGTTAGTCTCCAATGTCAGTGCATATCAGTCAAATGTAACACTGTAGCTTTAAGCTTTTCCAACATGGGAAAGTCTAAAGGACAGAGAACTATGCAGAATAAAACACTGTAGAAATATCATCAAATTTGAGCTATCATAACGTCCTTCATTGATTACTTGATTACTTGACAGCAAGCCCTGTCATGCTTTATCCTTGCTTAAAAAAGATCTAGCATCGTAATGCCATGTAGTACCAAAAACCAATATGTCTAACCAGTAATATATTATCAAAACCTATTAACACTATCATGCATGTAGATGAGCCCTCTTTTCTTTAGCTTCCTCACTTAATGAAAATGAAATTAAAAAAGAGAGAGCCCATCCCCAGATATGCATTCACTGGCCAATTTAATAGGTAAACACCTGTACACCTCTTCATTCATGCGATTATCCAATTATATCAACCAATCATGTGTCAGCAGCGTAATGCACAAAATCATGTTGATACAAGTCATGAGCTTCAGGTAATGTTCACATCAAACATCAGAATGAGGAAAAGATGTGACCTCAATTACTTTGACTGTGGCATGGCTGTTGGTGGTGGTGTTGGTGTTGTGGGCTGGTTTGAATAATTCAGAAACTGCTGATCTCCTGGGATTTTCACACAGAGTTTACACTGGTGTGAAAAAACAAAAAAACATTTAGTGAGTGGCAGGTCTGCAGAAGGAAATGTCTTGTTGGTGAGAGAGGTTAGAGCAGAATGGCCAGAATAGTTCAAGCTGACGGGAAGCTGCAGTAACCCAAAAAAAAAACACATCTAAAAACCACAGTGAACAAAAAAGGATCTCAGAAAGCACGACACTTTGAATTTTGAGGTGGATAGACTACAACAGCAGAAGACCACTTCGGGTTCCATGCCATGTTTAAAGTCACTGAAATCACATTTTCCCTATTTTGATGTTTGATCTGAACATTAACTGAAGCTTTTGACCTGTATCTGCATTGTGTTGGTAATACATTTTGCATGAATAAGCATGGGTACAGGTGTTCCTGTTAAAGTGGCCAGTGAATGTATATTAAACCTCATCCTAGACCATGAAAATTGATCCTTAACCATGTGCTGTGATGTACTGCAGGAATGGGAAGAATTGTGTCCTGAAAACGTATTGAAAGTAGAATGTTTACTTCCACTTACTGTGATGAGTAGAGGTATGAGAAGAGCACTGCTCAGGGTTGGAGCTCAGGACCAGCAGAGGCAGTGCTGCAATAAGCAGTGTCCTCAAGGGGAACATTGTATTTGGAGTGGGACACCAGAGAGCCCTGACCTCACAATTTCAAAATCTTACGGCCTGTGTGAGAACCTGTGAGAGATATTCAACATACACTTACTTTTGTAAAGACTAAAATGTTCAGAGCAGCAACAAAGAAGTGGATACTTTCTAAACACATATATACATATATTATTGTTATTCCTGTAGTTGATTTAGCACACTCACACACATCTGCTAAAAATAATAGCAACAACAACATCCTACAATATTATATAATCTGGAATGGAAGGATAGACAGATTAAACAACAACAAAAAGACTGAAATAATGTTTTGGTCAAAGAGAAAGTGAAGGTTTCTTCACACACAGCTGTGAGAAACTCATAGTTCTTAAAGATATTTCTGTTTTTGCCACATGATTACATACTATTCTATAGTAAAACCGATAGTACTATAGTTAAGTTTGTAATAAAGTAAATTTGTAAAGTATAATCATCCCCAAGCCTATGGTATGGCAAGGTTAAATTAGATAGATAGATAGATAGATAGATAGATAGATAGATAGAGAGATAGATAGATAGATACTGATCCCCAAGGGGAAATCTGGGATCATATTACATATTGCAGGCATGGTGCCATATGTCCAAGATGTTATGATCTATAGACAAGATCCTTTATAGTTAATATTATACATTGTAATGCACACAAAGGTGCCTTGCACCAGGAAAAACAGGGGACACCTGGATTTGACCAAGGAACCACTTGATCTGCAGTCAAATGCTCTACCACTGAGCTACACCCCCATGGGTAACCATGTGGGGTAAACAATTCGATCAGCTGTAAAATTAAAACCACCTGCCTAATATTGTGTAGTTCCCCTTGTGCCACCAAAACAGCTTTGCTGTGGTATCTGGCACCAAGACGTTAGCAGCAGATCCTTTAAGTCCTGTGAGTTGCAAGGTGAGGCCTCCATGGATCAGATTTGTTTGTCCAGCACATCCCACAGATGCTCGATCAGATTGTGATCTGGGGAATTTGGAGGCCAAGCCAACACCTTGAACTATTGGTCATGTTCTTCAAACCATTCCTGAATATCAATCAAACCATTAAGGAATACTGTTGCCATGAAGGGGTGTATTTGGTCTGCAACAATGTTTAGGTAGGTGGTACGTGTTAAAGTAACATCCACATGAATGACAGGACCCAAGATTTCCCACCAAAACATTGCCCAGAGCATCATACGTGCCCACTGTAGGCTCTTTCGGCAGTGGACAGGGGTCAGCATGGGCACTCTGACCGGTCTGCAGCTACGCAGCCCCATACGCAGCAACCTGCGATTCACTGTGTGTTAACTTTTTCAGCAATTTGTGCTAGAGTAGTTCTTCTGTGGGATCGGACCAGACGGACTAGCCTTCGCTCCCCACGCGTATCAATGCGCCCACGACCCTGCCACCGGTTCACCGGCTGTCCTTCTTTGGACCACTTTTGGTAGGTACTAATCACTGCATACCGGGAACACCCCCACAAGACCTGCAGTTTTGGAGATACTCTGACCCAGTCGTCTAGCCATCACAATTTAGCGTCACATTTTTCCTGCTTTTAACACATCAACTTCGAGAACTGACTGTTCACTTGCTGCCTAATATATCCCACCCCATTGACAGGTACCATTGTAACGAGATAATCCACGTTATTCATTTCACCAGTCAGTGGTTTTAATGTTATGGCTGATCGGTGTATACTGACACTGATATTAGGCTAATGAAATACAGATTTGTTGAAATTTTTAATTCAGAATTTTTTATCTGACATTTATTTTTTTTTAAATAGCTAAAATGAAACAAACATAGGCATTCACTTGTTCAGTGATTAACAGTGCTCATGTACTGACCATTATACACTAATATGATCATTGGTACATGATATAATAGCCTACTAATACTAATACATTTATCCAGCCTCAGTTAAATATGTACCAAACACAGCTACCATAAACAGCCATGATAGTATTATGGCTTACTAACCATCGTTCTCATAAAGCATCATAGTAAAACTGTGTTGTTATTATAGTTTCACATGTAACAACAGTTAACACAATCAACATCACTGTAGTACCACGGTTTAGATTTCGACTGCCACAGTTACTATGAAGTAATGAAACCAGATGAATAGTGAACTTTCGTATAAGGAAACAACAACATTAGTCTAATATCTGTGTCAAAATGAATGAAATTAATGCAAAGGGTTTCTTAGCTCATGGATCCTTACATCCAAATGTTCAGTAAACATCCCTCCTCCGTGTGTCCCATGGTGACCCTAACGGTAAATCCGGCGCGTGCTTCGCTCCAACCACACGCATTATGACGACACTGTACCGTCACATGACGACGTGTTTCATGCTCTCCGGTAGATATATCATCAAAGCGCGACCTAGCTACTGTGCTAAGTGTATTTAAAAAACAAAACAAAACAAAACAATTCTATCCAGCCTCTTATTTTAATTCTAAAAGCAACAGATTTCCTGATGGGACGTAGATAACAGTCTTGCGACTTCCTGGAATAGGAGGAGGTCAGAGGATTTCCCCTTTCTGAGTCTAGCCATGGGTAGGAAGAACAGAGACGGAAAAAGTGTGAGAAAGGGAGAAGAAAGAAAGTAAAAACAAAGCGAGCGAGTAAATAACTTGGTGAATGACCGTTTTTGTAGCTGTACTTCTGTAGCATACACTTGTAGTTGTGTAGCTGTGAGCTGAGGTGTATTTTTAGCAGTATGGAGATGAATAGGTGTGAAGGGTGAACGCTGTTGAAGGGGAAAGACCTTGACGCACTAGTCCACTCTCTTCACGTCTTTTCCCGTCACATAGTAAAGCACAAGCTCTCTTTATACTGAGAAAAAAAAATGGGTGGCCAACATGATGACCTCAGCTTCATTTCCTCCACTAAATATGAAATATACCCCCCCCCCCCCCAACCCTAAATATGAAGTATAATAGCCTAATAAGCCTTGAGTTTATAATCTCAGAAACTTATTTTTTTCTGAATATACTCAAAAAGATGTACTTGCTGCCACCCAGTGCAGAGGTAAGAAAGTTGAGATCTTAAAAGAAATTGTATGAGATTGAAAAAGAAATATTTATACACCTGGTCCCTTAAAATCATACTTTCAATTCCATTGGACATTATTCATTTTTGCTAAAAAAAAAAAAAATTTTTTTGAGAAAGCACATTACACGTTTATATCTGTTCCTGCCTTGGAATTAGATGTAGATTAAAGTGGAGTTATCTGAGTCCAAGTGGAAGCTGTGACAGTTTCTGTCTGCAGAAAGTTGACCCAGACCATGTTCAAGTGGCTAAGAAAGTGGATTTAACAGTGATTTGGACCCAAGAAACCAGGAAAACACACTGGTGCCTGACTATAGAAACCTTGGTCAATTTTCATTTCCATAATAGTATCATGTTTTCTTTAGAGATTTACAGAATTTGCTGATGAGGTATTATCATTTTAATAGGCTATAAAGATAAAAAAAAAAAAAAAAAAAAGATGGTGAAGATGATAAACAACACTTACCTTTCACGAATTCTGTTAATCCATATTACTGAGACTCAAAAAAAATCTGTTAATAGGTGTGTGTGGACTGGCTTAACTGTAGACAGTTCCTTGAGTGCATTTATTTTTTTGAGAGTGTGATGAGGGTGTACGTGTTCATTACTTTACAAAAAAAAAAAAAAAAAAGTGGTTCCTCTTTTTTTTTTTCTTCATTGTGGTCAGCAATTTTTTTTCGTCGCCTGGCCAATGTGTTGTCACACTGCATTAACAGCAGACAAGATAATCAGGAAGTAAATGTCGAATGATTAAGACAGCAGTTCTTAGGTACAAGTCAACAGGATCCAGATGAGATTATCCATTCAGAAAGGGTGAGACTTGGGCATAAACTGTTTTTCAGAGGTGCAGTCTTTAGGGTATCCATGTGGAGCCATGCACAGCAACAGAAAGCGAGTAACAAGTGCAGAACACTCCAAGCAGAAGGAGATCATCAGACTGAATCACAGCAGTAGAAATGTGTCAGGATCTAGCGTCACATCAAGCAGTGGAAGTACACATACAGAGAGAGAGAAAAAATTCAGATCATACAGTGGTTTAAAATGGTGTACACTGAGATCAGAGTGCAGTTTAGCCCTGACAGCATAACTAAAAGGGAAGAAGATGCCAGAAGATAACACAGGCATGACAGCACCCTGTAACATAAAACTCCCTGCCACTTCACCGTCAACAAACCTGAGTGAAATAATGTCCCATGAATAATAAAATAATAGAAATTATTAGTGATGCTATCTTTAGTTTGTTTTTAGCATTCATTTTCTAATCCTATGTAACCTAATGAATTTGTAACCACATTCCTTTTTTATTTGAAAACTTACAAAATATTTAAAAAAATTAAAATTGTATCACCAAAAAGAAACCCCATGATTTAATTGCAAAACTTACATGGATCACCAAGTCATATACAGTATATTGTTGATTCATCCTCACTGATGGCCTGCCTGTTTGTGAAATCGATGCATTGTGTGTATTACACAGGGCTGCTCATCTCATAGCAAAACATTAGCTTGCCTTATCTGCATCGCCTTTACACGTCAGAATTTAAAGGCTAGTTTCAGAATCTATGAAAGAACAGATACAATCATGAGTGGGTTTAATCAATGTTAAATATCTACGTGTTTTATTCCTCTTAGTCATCTTTACTTTAAACAGATCAGACTGAACGTTCTATATTTGGATGTTTAAATGACAGCTTCAAACATTGTTGCAGTATTTAAGAGGTTACAGTATTTCAGACAGTATTTAATGCTGTCTGAAAAAGGCCTGGGCTTGACTTTGAACATATTCTTAATCCTTAATGTCTATGATTAATGTAGTGTATCTACTGTAAAACTATGTGTAATAAAAGCTGTTTTGTTGGAGAAGCTCTTTGAATTTTTTTTTAGACTGGTTTATTTTTTATCCAAGAAGCCATACAGTAATGATGGTTAGTGATCACAAATACTAAGACTGTTCTAACTGAAAGTCAATGGTTACAGTTTTAAGTTGGTAATCTGGCAGGGAATTGTTTTTCTGGTGATCGATAAAGCAATTTTTTTTTTTTTAAAGAACTAAAATCCTGCCATGTTTTATATTTGAGCCTTTTGGGGATTTTTAGTGGAAGCAGGGCAAGATACCAGCAGTCTTCTCATTCTGAGATGGACTCATCTTGCTCTAATGGTCTTTATTCACCTTAGTATCAGGTCTATGCACAGACATCTTGAGGGCAATCACTCATGTGAAAAAAGTGCATGATGCAGTGTATTTTGCCTTTTATTGCGACTGTAACTGAATTTTATATTCATACAGTGAGCTCCTGAATAATTGCCACTCTTGGTGAAGATGGGTAAAAATCTATGAAAAAAGTTTTTGTGGTTAATTAACTTAATCTCACAAAGAAAATATGAAAAATCTAATCTTTAATTGAACTTACTTTTATGAATATAAGAAAAACTTTTGTTGCAGTTATTGCTACTGTTACATTCCCCTCCTGTCTAGGGGATTGTGAGGGGAAGTAGCAAATGAAAAAGCATAAAATTAAAAGAAACGGCAAGAACACACTTCAGTCCTCTGTCCCAGAGTGAAGATGACACCAATTCAGACATATACAAAAGTGGAGATTTATTTACAAAAAAAAAAAAAAAAGGACAATAAGTTTAACATAAGGAGATAGGGAGCAATGGCTCAGGAGAGAGCAAGGCCTAAAATAACAAACACAAGCAGTTC